CTACTTTCTTAGCATTTGTTTTTCTAATGGAATGATCCCTTTGAAGCAATAGACATAAGTATCAGAATGTTTACAGCTGAATAAGACTTTCCTACTTCAGTCAGTAATTGTGATAAGGGAGTCAATCTTTACTTTCTTCCCTCCTAGACTGGGCATTATCCTACATCAAGCAGGAGTGCCACATGGACACAGTCACGGAGGCTCAAGTCACAGTCACGGAGGTCACAGTCATGGAGGTCGGAGTCATGGGAATAGTTACAGGCACCTTCCTGCAGCAAGTATTAATGATGGGGACATATTGCATTCACATTCGGTGTCAATTCGAGGCAGTTTTCATGAAAAGGAGAATATTAATGTCAGAGCAGCATTTATCCATGTTTTGGGTGATGTCGTACAGAGTATAGGAGTACTTATAGCAGCATATATCATCAGATACAAGGTAACATTACCACATGATATTCATGCTGTACTTGTTTTGTTAGCCTTTATATCTAGATGTATTCTATAGTTTTGTTGAATAGTTGTTGGTATTAGAGCGGATTTCGTATGACTGTGCAACAGCATGGATCACAACAAAGCACGGCACGATCACAGAACCTCGCCTTCTAGGATTCTAAATAAAAATAAAGATTTAACAATACATCACCACTACAGCACCACAGTATGGTCACAGTGCTAAATTATTGTGTGATTTTTTTATTGTGTTTTTTGCACAGTCATACAAAATCTGCTCTAAGTGCAGACTGTAGCCACTAGATCTCTGGGGAAAGTTGTCCAGAGTGTTGATAAAAGCTMATTGTTTATTGGAAAGGAATTTATTAAAAGATAAAAGAATGTGCAAAAGCTATACTTTATCTTTTKTCTGATAAGTAATGAATTTCTTTCTCCATAAATCACTAGTGAACTCATCCTTCACATCATCTTCATCATCATGTTTCCCCTGTGGTGTCAGGAGACAACCTTGAGGTGCCATTGCTGGAAACATGTGTCCAGCAAYGTGGTAACACACAATGTTGTAATACACATTATAAGTTGTGTGATTATAAAATTGTTATTATTTTTTTCAGCCCACATGGAAAATTGCTGACCCAATATGTACCTTCCTCTTCTCTGTGCTTGTATTAATTACTACTCTTAACATTCTGAGGGATACAATACACGTGCTAATGGAAGGTAAGAATGATCTAGTTCCTTCAGAGGTATAGCAGCATGGATAGCATGCCACTTAAGTGTGAAACAATTCTTAACTAGTTAGTGCCAAATGAGAATTTAGTTATGAACTAACGAAGAGTTCAGTGTGGTGTAAACCAATTTGCTTTCTTGCATAGTACCCCCTGTGATTTGTTAACTAAATCTTATTAGTTGTTGATTGTTAAGAATTGTTTCTATCAAGTCTTTTTGGTGTGCACTGTAGATTATATAATTCAATGGAAACATTAAAAGATTTGTAACAGTAACAATTGAAGCAGAATTCAAAGAAAATCTTGAATGCATAGGAACCAAACCTGGAATACAAAGATAATGACAAATACAGACCCTGAGTTATAACTACAGTCAGTTGGAAAAAGCACAAAAGCTTCTCAAAGCATGGCAGTTTTGATTCAATTTATTTACTTTATAATAAAAGTTAACAGTTAATTTCCCTCAAGATGCTAAAAAGATCTCTCGGATATTACTAATATYGGATTTTGTTGTTTATTTTTCTGAAGGAACACCAAAGAACATCAATTATAACGCAGTCAAGAGTGGTTTAGAAAATATTGACGGGGTTATTACAGCTCAYAGTCTGCATATCTGGTCTTTGACAATAAACAAAGCTGCACTTGCTGTTCATCTTGCTGTTGGTGGGTTCAAACAACTTTTAATTTAGTACTTTTTATGATGTTTTTCCTMATTCTATGGTAATTTTGGATTAAATTTGACMACATGTAATAAAAAGGTGTGCCTACAGTGCTGAAMGTCATTTTCACAGCAAAAGAGAATGAAGTTATAAGATCTAAGAATACTGATGTTTCAAGTGTTCTTTAAGTCAGTTTCGGTTCTTGCATTCAGTGATATTTAGAGTATATATTGTTTGTTGTTTTATTTCCAGTGTTATTCATTCAATGAATTGATTCACTGTTTTTTTTTCCTGTAGGTCAAGGAACAAACACACAAAAGGTCCTTGACATTGCTCATCAGAAGCTTAAAACAGAGTTCCAGATATTTCATAGTACGATACAGGTTGAACAGTACCAGGAGTCTGTCATGTCCAACTGTGGTGAATGCCAAGACCTCAAGGACTAAAATAAAGACTGAAATTAGGCAAAAGACATTTGCTAAATTGCACTAGATACATTGGAATGTTGAATATCAGTTTTATGTTAAGTTATAGAGTCAGACATTTTAGCAAATAACYGGTGGCTTCTACTGCAACAAGAAAATCTTTTTGGATGCATATTTTGAGATTTTTTTATGTAGGTAGAGTAGAGTTAAGTAGAGTAGTAAAGGACCGTAACAAACAATTGAGGATAAATATATTTTTGGTACAACTTTATTCTTTTGTTCTACWTGTAAGTCATTGGTTTTGGTTCAACACCTTGAAAGAGCATGAAAGCAAAATCTTTCAAAAAGTGATTTCTGACAATCTGATAAGACACTGTTAGGTACAGACTTTTCCAATTGCTTTTAATATTTTGATTATCTTGTAGGGATAACGCATACAGGAACTTATATATTTTTTCATTATGAAATAATCTATGGAATAATTAATTATACATATTAATAATATGCAGAAACGATCTGTTAGTTCAATTAAGTAGAATAGCTGTAGAATATTTGCAAAAAAAAAAACAACAAAACAATCAATACATGTCAAAACAAATAAGATGTAGAGCTTACTTACTTTTTGAAAATATGTAATATAATTCACAACGCATATTATTGTACGTAATCAATGATCAATAAATGTAATTTTGTTAAGTCTACCTTCTCAATTAATATTTGTAAGCAATTAGTTTATTGAATAAAATATATCATTTCAACTGATAAACCTTTACATAGACTCTTTGTTTTCGGCTGCAAGGAGTATAGCCTTATTTGATACCTCTATACGTAGATAGTAATTTTAAAAAAGTAGAGTTTGATAGAGTGCAAACATTAAATGTGTGCAACACTTTCCACTATTTACTACAAAATAGTGTTAATTAAACAATAGAAAACAATAGAATTTGCATAATTTAGCAGTATTTAGTGGTATTTATGTTGCACAGTTTTAGTGTTTGTACTCTGTCCATCCCCATATTTTACCCAGAATTTAATCAGATTTGGTTATTTTACACACTACTAAATGAAGCAAATGCTTTTGCTCATTGTTCAAGAATTTCCACAAATCTTTTTCAAGTTCGGCCAGTTCCCTTGCATCTCTTGCCTGACAAGTCATCACCAATGACTGCATAAGTATAAAGAGCTCCTCGCACAGCCATGGGATAGGGCTTCCCTCTACTTCGGTATCCCAAAGATACTTTTCTAGTGTCTCTGCATGTTCAGGTTGTATTTTCTGTGGACTGGGCTGTAGCAACATTAGGAGAAGTACTCGGTTTATCTCRCATTTAGTGATGATATCTTTGTACGTACTGTGTATTGTGAAGCCACTACCACCTTCAAAAGAGCCTCTTTCTTGAGCATGATAGGCCATCTCAGTAAAAATTGACAGAGCACCATCAAAATCACCTGTTGAGAAAATTGAAGACAAGTGTAAACTTTAAGTGTGTGATTTTCACAGCTAGTACTGTGTCGGAGGCAGTTGTGTCATGACGCAGAGGTGCAAAAAGTTGGCTGCTAAAGCTTAATAAGGCTGAATTGTATATGCCTCTGGTGAAAATTACAGTAAACTTAATAATCATGTTTAATTGTTAATATATTTTGTTTTACCTGAGTCAATTTTACAAGATGCTGCGTGACCCATTGAATTAAGAGCAGCAAGCGGTGTCTGATGTTGAAGCTCTGCTGCATGGTGATACTGAACCATAGCCTCAGTAGGCCTATTTATGCCACGTAATGCATCGGCTAATTCTAAGCACAGACAAGACGCTAAAGCTGAGTTTCCGTGCGAACAGTGCACTTTAATAGCTTGATTGTAAATATGAATTGCTTCAGTCAAATGTTCCTCAAAGCTAGGGCACCCCATGTCCAGGTTCTCTTGCTCTGCCATAAGGAACAGCCTTGCTGCTTCCGTTAGAGCTTCCACTTCTCCAACAGGGTTTACCAGAGTGTTTTCACATCTCGCCTTTGCAAGACAGCAAAATCCACTATATTGAGGGCAGCCTTGACGCTGGAGTTCTTTTGAAAGGCTGCCGAAGTGGCTGACTGCTTCAGTRACATTGGGCTTTTTCAGAAACCTTCGTTTTAATTTRGATGATACGGAYCGGTACTGGCCAAGAACATCAAAGTTGCGGTCCATGGAAGCGACTTCAACACATGGCGATGTTAATGCTKACTTTTTAGTTTCCTAAAATCGGCAAAATGAGAAAAATACACWGGGAGTAGMAAACAACAKGAAAAGAAAYATGGAAGCTTCRTTCCYGCGATACATCTTGTCAGTGGTAGTGCYAAAATTTTACACAGGGAATCCGAMGTGARCACTTGTCTCACTTCCGTTCATTTTCAAAAGAAAAGATGGCGGATCAGTGGAACAAYTTTTGGCGKGGTCATTTGCCACAACAAGCTCAGGTCAATAGACAGTATGAACACTGGCAAGGTCAACAGAGTGTACAATCCACAAGTCCTCGGCCATTAATGAAATGTAATGTTCAATATCCYTTTCAACCACGACAATCTTTTCGACAAAACATGCCTGGCCGCCCACCACCTCCACAACGACCCTTGAATAGAAACTACTCGCCACGAAACGTTCATCCCCCAACAGTAGATCAAACTAGACTTGCTGGRTTTGAGGCAGAAAAGCGATTCACWAACTCTAAAGAAAGAATCCATAATGTTCTTCAAAATGCGACAAAAACCCATCATAAGTTGAACTACAGATATCAGAGAGTTAACAGCCAAGTTTGGAAAGCAACGGTTGGCGTGCCTTGGCCAAGCAGTTATTTTGARGTTACWGGTGAAGGATGTGATAARAAACAAGCRGAGAGACGAGCTGCTGCTTTAGCATTACTCAGGCTTGAGGTATACCTGATTACCCTTGGCTCWGGGGAAGGGGGATTTGCCATCRCATTTTGTAGTTGAAGAGGGTACATGTAGCTTTTGTCAACAACTAAGGGACAATAATTTTTATTAATTGGAGGAGGGGATGGATAGAATATTAGCAAAGTCAACTTCCTTCTCGTTCCAAACACATCCCCCCCCTCGCAACCTCCCGCCCCCTCCAGCCCCCTCCAAAAAAACACACAACAACAAAACAAACAAACAATACAACATTTTCCGTATATCTTCTCCCATCAATCCTTGCCAATATGCATACATAATATTCTGTACATGTATAATAAAATACTTGAGATAAAATTCGTTCATTTGCCCACACATATTTACATTCATTTGTAAATTCATCTCTTTTCACTTATTTGTTTTTATTATTTTTATTTTTAGGAAATGGGATTCCCAGTAGGAAGCTCAGGAACATCAATTTTATCCAAAAAAGAAGAAATCAACAGAGACGATGAACCAGAGGAAATTCAAATACCTGAATGTGTA